GGACCAACTTTTTAAACATAGCACCAAATGTAAAAACACTAATGGAGGGGCGCCTGGGTGGCTCAGTCAGTTAAGTGTCTGACTTTGGCTCAGTTCATGATCTCACTGTTCTTGGGTTCAAGCCCGACATCAGGCTCTGTGCTGACAGCTCAGAGCCTGGAGCCTGCTTTGGATTCCGTGTCTCCCTCTCTCTCTACTCTTCCCCCATTCATACCCTGTGTCTCAAAAATAAATACAAATTTTAAAAAGAACAATAATGGAAAGGATATTTGTTTACATGAAAATTAAGAAAGACTGCGACAAAAGCATTTACTTCTAAAAATATTTTCTTTTTTTTATTTTTAATGTTTCAATTTTTTATTTGATTCCAGTTAGTTAACATACAGTGTAATGTTAGTTTTACATATAACACCCAGTGCTTATCCCAAGTTCCCTCCTTCATACCTCATCACCCGTTTAACCCATCCTCCCGCCCGCCACCCCGCCAACAACCCTCAGCTGTTCACTAGAGCTAAGAGTGTCTTTTATGGGTTGCCTTGCTCATCTATTTTTTTTCTTCCCCTGTGTTCATCTGTTTTGTTTAGAAAATATTTTCTTGCAAAGAAATTTTGCAAAGGCGTTAGAATTCAAAAGAAATGCCTTATGAATTTTAAAACTTACAGTGAGTATAATTTTTTTCATGGTGGAAATACAGTTGCTTTTTACATGATGTCTGTAAAGGTTGTGGCATCCACTGACGTCAAGTATAAAGACTTTTTTCTTAGGAAATTAGTTACTTAAGGGAAATTAAGGTTTTGTTTATTTTGGAGGCTAGAACTAGACAGGGTGACTTTTTAAATTTGTCTTGTTTGTTTCTGTTTATGGCGGGGGCTGACAGGAGATGTTATGGGCACATATACATAATTGTAGCGGGGCAGGATGTCAATTTTTATTTCTCAAAACCTAAAATATAAGCAAAGGTGAAAGGGGAAATATACTTAGGATAGAAATAATTGCAACATATGACAAAGAGATTAAAATCTTTAATATCTAAAAAGCTCTTAAAAACCAGTAAGAAAAGATGCACACTGGCTGATAAAATGGGCAAAGGATACAAGACATTATTTGTAAAAGAAAAAGCAAAAATGATCAATAAACAGGAAACTAATATTTGGCCTTAGTAATCACATTAAAATTAAAAGAACAAGTAAATTTGCTTTTCGAAATTGGAAAAAACTTAATGATAAAATTCACTTCATGGTTATATTATAAATTGTTACAGCTCATAAAGAACAACTTTTATGCCCTTGAAGCCAACAGTTTTGTTTTTATTTGTAGCAAGAATACCAGGAACAAACAAACCTGTAGTCCAACAAAATTTCTTAGTGGAACCATAAGCATCTCACCAAACAAAGGAAAAAATACAGTTATGGTAAGATACTGAGGAAGGGTAGAGTTGAGATGAAATGTAAATAAAGCAAAGAAGAATTATGCTCATGGCACAGTGGAGCTCTGTAAAGGGGTCGGGATCAGATCCAGGACATACTAGACAGGGGTTCCTGTTTCCTTGAAAGCAGTGAGGTTGAAGATGTGTAGAGTGCTGTTTCTAATCCCTTACTCAAAGCTCTGCATCTGGGATATAAATCAAGACTGCTTGTTTGCATTAAAAGTAACTCAAGTCCTCCAGGCAAAAGTGGGATGTTTTATTCTTACTGCTATCATTTTGTAAGTCCACGGGTTCTGATGGTCTCTGATGTACAAAACCAAGTTTCTTCAGTGAGTAAGAAAGTAGGAGTCATTCCAGGAGGTCGTTCTGCCACTTAACAGCTGTAACATGTCCTTGGGAGAAACAGTGTTTCCTGCTGACTGCATCTGGCTTTGTCTGTGTCTGTTACTTCAGCCTGAAGAGTGGATGTACAGATTTTTTCTTTCTCAGAACCTCTGTTAAGGAAGAACTAAGCCACAGCTCCAAGGCTGTTTTCTCAAAGCCTTGTTTATAAATGTGAGAAAATTCAAAATAAACTGTTTTACCTGAATTATGACACACCAGTAAGATTAGACCTTATACAGCCAATAAAAATTAAGTTGTAGGGGCATCTGGGTGGCTCAGTTTGTTGAGTATCTGACACTTGGTTTTGGCTCCAGACATGATCTCAAGATGCTCGGTGGGTGTGGAAACTGCTTGAAACTAACTCTCTCTCTCTCTCTCCCCCTCCCTCCCTGTGCCCCTTCCCTGACTTGTGCTGTCTCTCAAAAAAATAATAAATAAATTGGGGCGCCTGGGTGGCTTAGTCGGTTAAGCGTCCGACTTTCGCTTAGGTCATGATCTCGCGGTTCGTGGGTTCNTTTCAGTCTGTGACTCCCTCTCTCTCTGACCCTCCCCTGCTCACGCTGTCTCTCTCTCTCTCCTAGAAATAAATAAAACATTAAAAAAAAAAAAATTTTAAAAAAAAATAATAAATAAATAAATAAATAAATGTATATATATACAACTCATGTGTATATATGTTATAGAAGTAGTATTCTTAACCTGAAACTTGTGAATCCTCTGAAATTAAATATAAAATTTTCTTTGGATATGTTTATTTTTTCATTTTCCTAGAGAGGAAATCCATAGCTGTAATGAGTTTCTTAACTCAAAAGGCAAAGTATTTGGCTGTTAAACTCTATTGTTAATCCATTGTGTGCCTTTAATGCAGCCATGTCCAATAGAATTTACTATTGTTGTGGAAATGTGCTGCTGCTTTCCTGTGCAGCGTGGTTGCCAGTAGCCATATATAGCTGTTGAGCACTTAAAAATCCTGCTAGTGAGGAACAGAGTTTTTCATTTTAATTAGTTTAAATATAGGTAGCCATGTGGGGCTAGTAATTACCAAATTTTGCAACATTTTAGACAAGTCATTTTAGAGCAGATATCCTTTTGGTCATCTCTGCTCTAACATGAGAGGAGCTTTGTCTGGGAAGAAGTCTTGAAGATCATCTGGACTTGTTTTCTTAACTTGGAAGAATCGGCCCCTGTGAGAAAAAGTACTTATACCTAGTTCTAAAATTCTAACCATCTGTACTTCTAGGATAATAATAATACTAATGTAGTCCTCACACTTACTATTATTTCTGGAACACCAATTGAACTTACTTCACCATGTGATTTGTGTAATTAGAAGTTGGTAAACTATGGCCTACAGAGTAAATCCCATTTCACAGCCAGTTTATGTCTATATAGCCCATGACCTAGAGATGGTTTTTACATTTATAAATGTTGAAAAAGAAAATCTATGACAGTTACGTGAAATTCAAATCACAGTGTCCCTAAGTGTAGTTATATTGGAGTACGGCCACGTTTATTCACTTGTGTTATCTACGCCTGCTTTTGCATTCCAGTGGCTGAGTTGAATAGTTGCAACAGAGACTGTATAGGCTACACAGCCTGAAGTATTTACTGTCTGGCTCTTTACAAAAATATTTGCCTGATGCTCGGTGTAGATGATCTTTGAAAATGAATTAAGTACCAATCTACAAAAGAAATTGAGGTTGACAGGAGTGAGTTGATGTAGTCTATGTCACACAATCCCAAAGTGGCAGAGAGCATTTTTATATGAAGGCCTTTCTCACTTCTGAGGCAACCCTCCTAACCCATGTACCAGGACAGTCTATGATGTGATTGTTGTATATGTTTTAGATTTGATGAATTTGATGAAGCAATTGATGAGGCCATAGAAGATGATATCAAAGAAGCTGATGGAGGAGGTATGTGTTTATCATTCCCTCTTTTTTGTATGACTTGGCCAATAAGTTAAAATGTCCTGATTAGGACCACCTGGCTGGCTTGGTCAGTAGAGCATGTGACTCATGAGTTCAAGCCCCACAGTGAATGTAGAATTACTTTAAAAAAAAAAAGACCTGATTAGAGCATTAAGCATATTTTTTTAAAATTCCCCCCAGTGTGTATCATGATCACTACTGATGTTACATGTCTGAGATTTAAAATAATTTGTGGACATTGTGTCAGTGTGTAGACTGTGCATTTTTCAGGTAGTTTCATGATCTAATATAAAATGTAAATGTACCTCTATAGATTAAAAAATTTACTTCCGCTTCCAAATAGAAAACCCAATCCAACTTTCTTGTCTTTCTATGTTTAGATCACTACTGCTACAAAATATTAAAAATTATGGATGAATCAGAATCTAAACGATTGCTATAAATCAGCCTTTTGAAAATCACTTTATTAATATTGTAGTCTTTAATAGGTGACCTAAAAATAGAAGGATTTGAAGGTAATTTATTGAAAGAACTACATAGAGATTTATAATTCTCTGAAAACTATTATTTTCAAAGAGGATTAGTATTAAGTAGGCTCTCTTTAGTGGACTAAAGAAGTCACCAGCTTTTCCGGGGCTCTACACCTATTTACAGCTTTACTACGGGATTCTCACTTTTTCTGTTCTGCAAGCACAGTTGAAAGAAAACAGATTGGTCTCTTTCTAAAGCCCTGTCCAAAAGACAACTTTGAAGAAGAGATTCTTGAGTGATTGCTAATAGGTATGGGGTTTCTTTCGAGGTTGATGAAAATGTTTTGGAATTTGTTAGTGGTGATGGTTGCACAACTTTGTGACTATACTGAAAACCTCTGAATTATACACTTAAAAGGTGGATATTATAGTGTGTGAACTGTATCAAATTTTTTAAAAAAGTTTTTTACATGGTGAACTTGTACTTCATAGGATAAACAAATGCAGTATACTCTTGATGAGAGCTCTGTCAGCTGAAGTTGTGAGAAAAGTGGTTATTTGTAGGAAAAAAACAATTGAGCTGCTAAGCATGAACAAGGACAGCCTCTATTTATTAAAGAGAACCTTTTAATAAACATACAGTTGTCTCTCTTCTTCCCTCCTATTCCCCTTAACCCCCTCCCCCCAATCCTGAACTCAGGAGCTGGCCGAGGAAAAGATATCTCCACCATCACAGGTCACCGTGGGAAAGACATCTCCACTATTTTGGATGAAGAAAGGAAAGAAAATAAACGGCCCCAGAGGGCAGCTGCTGCACGCCGGAAGAAACGCCGGCGCCTGAATGACCTGGACAGTGACAGCAACCTGGATGAAGAAGAGAGCGAGGATGAATTCAAGATCAGTGATGGGTGCGTGGTTCACCAACAGATCCCAGCCCCTAGACGCAGAGAAGCTCGGCCACACTGTGGTGGGGCTTTTGTTCTTCAGGCACATGGGTGACCTCTTTATTTTCAGGCTATTTAAAACAGATTCAGGAGTGCTGATCTTGGTTATTTTTAGCAAAACATAGTAGGCTTATGGTTGTTTGTTTAATATGCAGAATCGTATTTACATTTTATTAACCGCAGTCAAGCACTCATTTGCTGTGCATCTCCACAGCTGGTGCCACTTGCCACCAGCATGTGCAGGAGAGGTTCCTAGTCACGTGTGAAGTAGACAAGGACGGGTAATTAGACACTGTTCTCTGATGACCCACAGAGGTTTGGGTCAAGGCAGATAATCCAGTATGGAAGATCAGGAAAGGTTTTCATGCAGAGCAAGAAATAACGTAGAGTTTCTCCTCTCAGATTGTTAGTGGAAGAAACAAACATGTAAATCACAAAAAGTCATTAAGTATGTGATTGTTACTAAAAAAAAAATAGGTAAAGCCTAAGTTAGAGTACAAAGGAAGAGTCCAATAAATTTAGGGAGTTCAAAGAAAGCCTTGGAGTAGAAATAGAGCTTGATACGAAATTTGAAGAATGAAAAAATGGGCAAATCAATTTGAGATTCAAAGCAGCATCCTATGAGAAGTCATGTGTCCAAGGCAGAAAGACATAAAACAGCATGGAGTATTTAGGAAACTCCTGGTCTGTCAGAGCAGCAAGAATATGGGGAAGAAGAAGTACAAAGTGCTCTGCTAGAGATGTGACTAAGATAAAGAGGACCTGGATGATGGAGTACTTTGTCATGCATAGGAATTCAGACTGTTACTCTGAAGATGATGATAAAAGCCCACTGCTGGGTTTGTAACATCAGGCTAATGAGGTTTATGTTTTAGAAGACTCCATTCTGGCCTTCATTTGGAGGATATACGGAGGGGAAATGAATCTAGAGACTAGAGAGACTCCCTGGAGAGTTGCTGTAGTGCTTTAGTGGGAAATGAGTGCCTGAACACAGAAAGAGGGATCAGGTTTGGGATCTTATCTTTAAGAGGTCAGCTCAGGGAAGAGTTAATAATTTGTTAGGTTTGAGAAATTAAAATCATGCAGTTAGGAAAAACACCAGGTTTTTGGTTTGAGTTACTGGAAGGGTAACAGTACCAAATAAATACAAGGCTAGGAGACACAAGAGAGGAATCGGTTGGGAACTAAAGAGTTCTCTGTACGACTTGTTGAATTTAAAGTATGAGAGGGACATCCCAAGAGGCCAAAGCAATTTATGTACAAAAATCCGCATCAGTTCATCTTAACACCTCGTAAGAACAGATGGCAAAACCTTTCTCCATTTTACTAACAGATAAATTGATCCAATTACCCAGGTATTTTACGTTAAGCATTACTTAAAGACTCACTGCACTTGGTGGAATTTGAATCTTAGCTGGTTTCTCTTGAACAGATCACAAGATGAGTTTGTTGTATCTGATGAAAACCCAGACGAGAGTGAAGAAGACCCACCGTCTAATGATGACAGCGACACTGATTTCTGTAGCCGAAGACTGAGGCGACATCCTTCCCGGCCAATGAGGCAAAGCAGGCGTTTGCGGAGAAAGACCCCAAAGAAAAAGTACTCTGATGATGATGAAGAGGAGGAGTCTGAGGAGAATAGTAGAGACTCTGGTAAAAAATAATTGGCATTCGCATCACACCAACTCAGTAAATTCTTATGACTACTGACTGGAGTTAAGAGTTCTTAAGATAAAATTCCATTCAACTGTAATATAAGCTTTCTGATAAAACTTTGTATTCTCTTCTTATGACTTACTAGTAACTAAATTTTTCACAGAAAGCACATAAAGTATATCTAAGAAAATGAATACAGATAGATGTGTTAACAGCACACCAAGTTCATTTAGGATTGTGATGAATTCTTTTGGCGCCACGTGTTTCCATGCCTAGACTTATCTGCATAGTATTTCTTTGGAATTATTCTCAAATAAGCTGTCAACATTTTCCCCATACCTAGCAGTTGGAAAGAGAACGATCACCAATTATTGCTAACATTTAAATCACTATCAGTGATTCATTTTTATAAATTAGCAGTAGTTGATGTTCTTACATTTGATGCTTATCCCTATTAGCCAAATAAATAGTCACTGGCACAGTATCTGAAAGAACAGATATGGGGCACCTGGGTGGCTCAGTCAGTTAAGCATCCGGCTTTGGCTCAGGTTATGATCTCACGGTTCGTGGGTTCAAGCCCCGCATCAGGCTCTGTGCTGACAGCTCAGAGCCTGGAGCCTGTTTCAGATTCTGTCTCCCCCTCTCGCTGCCCCTCCCACACTCATGCTCTGTCTCTCTCTATAAACTATAAAAAAAACATGGGGGCACCTGGGTAGCTCAGTCGGTTAAGTGTCTGACTATAAGGTTATGATCTCACAGTCCATGGGTTCAAGCCCTGCTTTGGGCTTTGTGCTGAAAGCTCAGAGCCTGGAACCTGCTTCAGATTCTGTGTCTCCCTCTCCCTCTGCCCCTATCCCTCTCGCTCGCTCCCTCTCTCAAAATAAAATAAAAACATTTAAAAAAAATTTTTTTTAAAAAGAACAGATATGGGTCTTTTTTTTCCCCCCTTTTTTTGGTAGAATTGGCAGATAGGTAGCTGTCATCTCCCTGAGGAAGTGTCACAACCAAGATGGAGTATTACATCCTGACCTGGCTGGGCTTGTGGGGTTTTTGTTTCATATATCTTTTATTCTAAACCTTTTGAGTAAATGAAGACATCTTGCCTCTTTATCAGGGATTATTTCCTAAGAACAAGGACATTTCCAAACATAACCACAGTATAATTATCAAAATCAGACGTTTTAACATTGAGGTGCTACTATTATCTAATTAACAGTAAACATTCAGATTTCATCAGGTGTCCCGATATAATCCTTTATATCAATTTTTTTTTCCAGTCCAGGGTGAAATCCAGGAGTACATATTTCATTTATTCATGTCTCTAGTCTCCTTTAATCTAGAATATCCCTCAAATTTTGTCTTTATTGATCTTGACATTTTTTAAGAATACACTCTAATTTGTAAAGTGTTCTTAGTCAATAGTTGTTTTTCTTTCCTTGTGATTAGATTCAGGTTACACATTTTTCAGCAAGAATATCACAGAGCTAATATATGTTCTCCAGTCTCCATTATTTTCCCCTTTATAATTAGCAGTAAATAGTAGGACGGCATTTTTGAGACCCTATATATCCCATTTCTTTTCAGATATTTCACGCATAGTTTTAAAATTCATTGATGATTTCCTAGCTCCATCACTCCTTTTATCTTTATTATTTGGTCTTCTGTAAGAAAGCACTTTCCCTCCTTCTACATATATTTATTTCTTTAGATCAGTATGTACTTGTAGTTTCTTATTTTAGTCTGTGATTATAATATGTTATCATCACTGTGTAGGTCAGTTTGTGCCAGATTTGGCCGGTTGGACTCCTTCAAACTATTAGTTTGCCATTTAAACCAATTTGGAATTTGTTAGCACTCCTGAAAAACTGCTCTAACACAATGTCATGGTCTCATTTACTTATCAGAGATGGTAAGGACAGTGCTGTTCAGCTACACTTTGAGAGTTTAAGTATCCGTGTATGCTATAGCTAGCAGATTTTATTTCCATATGGAAAAAAGCCAAAAACATAACTCCAATTCTAAACTTCTTTCAAATAGTCTCATCTAGGATTAGATGGTTTAATCTGTGCCAAGCATTCATTGTGAAATTATTTAATCTGTGCTATACGTCTGTACACATAGAAGCAGCAGATTATCTTGAGGCAGAATAGTAACTGTCCACCAAGAAGAGCAACCATGCAATTGACTGAGTAGCTCTAGGGTGAGTGAGATAAGGATCATATAAAACATGTTTTCATCTTTTTTTTTTTTTTAATGTTTTATTTATTTCTAGGAAAGAGAGAGAGACAGCGTGAGCAGGGGAGGGTCAGAGAGAGAGGGAGTCACAGACTCTGAAACAGGCTCCAGGCTCTGAGCTGGCAGTCAGCACAGAGCCCGACGTGGGGCTCAAGCCCATGAACCGCGAGATCATGACCTAAGCGAAAGTCGGACGCTTAACCGACTAAGCCAACCAGGCGCCCCAAAACATGTTTTCATCTTAAGCATTGTCTGCTAACAGGATACATTAATGAGGTTGGGCATTAAAGACTCTTCTGCACTTATCCATAGTATTAAAAGGAAAATAAGAGACTTCTAGGGGCTCCTGGCTGGCTCAGTAGGTAGAGAGCATGGCTCTAGGTCACAGGGTTGTGAGTTCAAGCTGTATGTTGGTTATGGAGCCTGCTTTTAAAAACAGATTTATTAGGGCACCTGGGTGGCCTAGTCAGTTGAGCATCCAACTTTGGCTCAGGTCATGATCTCACAGTGCTTGGGTTTGAGCCCTGCATCAGGCTCTCTGATCTCAACCTGTTAGCGCAGAGCCTGCTTTAGATCATCTGTTCCTCTCTTTGTCCCTCCCCCTACTTGTTCTCTCCCAAAGATAAATAAATATTAAAAAAGAGAGATAGGAGAGGCGCTTGGGTGGCTCAGTCAGTTAAGTGTCCAACTTGTGCTTAGGTCATGATCTCACAGTCCATGAGTTAAAGCCCTACATGGGGCTCTACTGGCAGCTCAGAGCCTGAAGTCTGCCTCAGATTCTCTGTCTCCCTCCTTCTATGCCTCTCCCTCACTCGCACTATGTCTCCATCTCTCTCAAAAATAAACATTTAAAAAATGTTTTTTAAAAAAGAGGGCTTACAACAACTATGATTGATTTAAAAATTATTACTACTGAACTGTGTTCATAGCTTTATATTTTTATAACCTAAGCTAATAACATTTCTATTTAATAGACTTAAATTTTGTACTTCTTTTTTTTTTTTTTTTAACAGAAAGTGACTTTAGCGATGATTTTAGTGATGATTTTGTAGAAACTCGGCGGAGGCGGTCAAGGAGGAATCAGAAAAGACAAATTAACTACAAAGAAGATTCCGAAAGTGATGGTTCCCAGAAGAGTTTACGACGTGGTAAAGAAATCAGACGAGTTCACAAGCGCAGGCTATCCAGCTCAGAGAGTGAAGGTAAGGAGTAAATCTCCAGTTTACAGAAGTTTGGACAAGGCAGAAGTAGACGCTACAAAGTAAATTCAGAATTACGGTTTTGTACCATTTCATAGAAATTGAGTATAGCCAGTCAGATCCTTGAGATAAAAACCATGTTTTGTTTTGTTTTGGGTTTTTTTTGCTGAGTCACTTTTTATAGTTTAAATAAATGATACCTGATAAGGTACCAATTTTTAACATCTCCATTGTAATAATTAAATTTTTCATTGAAATAGAAGAGTCTCAGAAAATTGCCTGAGCAAGGTGTCTTCTGCTCCCTTAATTATTCACAGCCCTCATTTTGATATAACCTCCTGTGCCCTGAATAACCAGTTTCAGATACAGGTTCTTGCTGTCTTTTTCCACCTTGACCGTGAACTTCAGATGGTAACTTTTATTTCTTAGTAGTTTTTGTTGTGCTTTAGAGCAGCAGTGTAGGAAAAGCCCTAAAATATGAGTCTGTGATACCTGTTTAGTCTTATGGTTTTTCCAGAGTTCTTCCCAAGTTCATTTTAAATCTTTCTAACACTCACCTATGCCCCCTTCTGTTTTATTTAGTTCTCCATTATTTATCATCTGTTTTGAAGATTTCAAAGATCCTTATCAATTAAATTTGAGCCCAAGTTAGGAAAGAAAGGGGAAAAGAACATTTGGACATGAGAGGCAAAAGAAAGGAGATAAACATCTGACTGTGTCTATTTATCTTCATGTGTCATTAAACATAAATTCAGTAATTCAACCTTAAAAAACACTTACTGTACTAGTCATTATTCTAGGCACTCGAAGTAGAAGAGTGAATAGCCGAAGCTTCTCACTCCCATCTATAACTCTTACTTTAATTAGGGGTTGAGACAGTAAACAAGATAAATAAGTAGAACCTGTGCTATATTAGGTGGTGATAAATGCTGTGGAGAAGAATAAAGGAGTAAAGGGAGTTGGGAGAGTAGCTGGAATCTCAGGGCACCATAAGAACGCCTCACTAAGAAGTCCGCATTTAAATAAAGACCTGGCAAAATGTCAGGTGCGTGTCCTGAGTTTATTTGAAAGAAGAGTGATATAGGCAGATGGAGCATCTAATGTGAAGGCCTGGAGATAGGTCTGTGCCTAGCATGTTGAGGGAACAAAAGAGGAGGCCAGGGTCGTGAAAGGAGAATGAACGGGTGAAGGGAGGAATAGCTTGGTATGATGCAGAGATCGACTGGGTCAGATCATGAAGAGCCAGCTACATACAGCCCGCCTGTTTATATAAATAAAGACTTTGTAAATCAAGTTTTATTGGAACAACCACACCCTTTGTTTCTTACATATTATCTGTGGCTTCTTTTGCATAAAGTTGAGTAGTTGCAATAGAGATTATAGGGCCTGCCCTTTACCAAAAATGAAAATAAAAATTGCCAACCCTTGATGAGGAACAGTGCCATGCAGTTGAACTTGCTGCAGCGATGGAAATATTCTGTATTTGTGCTATTCAGTATAGTAGCCACTACCCTCATGTGGCTTTTGACCACCTGAAGT